AGAAATCTGTGTTTTGGTGCAATGGGCAAAGTCCCAGAGAAGTTATTTTTAGAACAGTAGCAATAGCAGGGATGCCTGCTCTTGGACAGAGTTCTCCAATGCCAATATTAGGTCTGCAGCTGGAACGATGACCGTTTCAGTAGTATTCAGGGGGGTTTGCATTGTTTCTTTGCATTAAGCGTTTTTTATGTCTCTTAATTACAGAAAGCGCATATAATGTGGAAACAAAAACCATCGCAGTGGACTACGGTCAGGCTGATATATATCCTAAAATCGAAAAGGGTCTCGCTGGACTGGAGATTGGAGTCCTTGGTAAGTTTCTTTTACTTTGGGCCTTTGTTACATCTTGAAAGCAACCCAAAACTCAAATTTGTCGGAAAGCGGACATGCACACAACTTCCGATCTCGATTCCCTTTCCGTGTTGCTTTTAAACCTCTTTTATTTGGCCTCATCTTCTCAGAGAGGTGGTGGTGTTTTTTTGTTTTGTTCACCTGAAATTGTAATCGAGTTTTTTTCTGTGTAGTTTAGAGCTCACGTCTCATTCCTGATGCCTTATCGCCACCTAGTGGTGATTTTTTTAAGAACATGCATATTTCAGATACCCATCTCAATCATATTCAACCACATCTGATTGTCTATTTTTGTCTCTTGATTCATAGTGAACAATGTGGGTATCTCGTATTCATACCCTGAATTCTTCCTCCACATCCCTGATTTGGAAAATGTGAGTAAATTCTTTGTTTGAGAAGGAAGGTTTAATTATTAGTAGCCATTATCGTTAAGAAATATTCGCCTTTTAATTTGTTTTCGCAGTTCATCACCACCATGATAAATGTCAACATCACCTCAGTGTGCCAAGTAAGTAGACACAAACAACATATTGGGCTGTTGAAGGGTTTCGGAATTCTTAATTTTGAAAATTCAAATAAAAAAATGTAGAAGTACTGCAACTGCTTTGATGTACTCCTCCTACTGTTGTACCTGTTCTCTCTCACTGTGTTTTGCTGATCTCCACCAACGCTCCCCGTGTTCACCACCCACGCATTCTCTCTCTCTCTCTCTCTCCCTCACTCTCTTTCTTTCTAATGCAGGAGTGATATATTAGTGTTTCAGATTTTTAATGTTGTCAAGTCATTTGTGAGCATGCGAGAACTCGTTTTTGTGTCCCGTTTTCTCTCTCCAGATGACTCGTCTGGTGCTGCCCAGAATGGAGGCAAGGTAAGTCCTGGTGTTTGATATAAAAACATCCTTCCAGCATCTTACTGGAATTTCTAAAACAGCCGCTGTCACTAAAAAGGAATTCAGTGCAGCTTTTAAAACCAGTTTTTCCTCCTGAGTGTTGCTCCCCTCCTGTTCCCCCCACTCTTTGTGTGAAATTGAAAAACAACAATGCACTGATCCCATTGGCTACTGCTGAGTCACGTGCAACTCTGGGGCCAATAATGGAGCTGGGCAAAGTTTGTACAAATAGGTCCATCCCTCTGCACTCCCCAGCACTCTACTGCAGCTGCAGGGGTACTGCATGAGAAAGCTGGTGCCATGGCAACACACATGGCGACCATCATTAGATGTGTGTTGAAATGAAGTACAGTGGGTGACGGCGGCTTTCAGGTTTCCACAGCTGGAAATATACCCTATTTGATGTAAATGTCAAACGTGATTATTTGAAATAAAGTTTGCTTTTTCATTGCAGAGCTAAGGGTGTCATCCTCAATATCTCCTCTGCCAGTGGCATGTTCCCCGTCCCAATGCTGACCATCTACTCCTCCACCAAGGCGAGTGTCTTCACAACATTCTTCAGAGATATCAGTGGTCATAATTGTTTCAGAAAACTTTTTAAAGTTGTTTATATTAAACAATCTAAAGTTAAGTTGGTCATACCGTTGTTTTAAAATTGTATAAATGTAATTTTTATTTATTTGTTCCAGTCCACATTGGATATTTATTTATTTTTAATTTAAAGCGATTACTTAAACAGAATAAAAAATAAATTTATTTACTAAATTTATTTATTAGTATAAATTTACTAACACAGTACTTTATACTGTGCACTATAATGTTGTGATGCATTAATTCACTGGTTGCATTTTGAAATCAATTGGTTTTAGTTTGCTTTTATTTTTTAAGGTTTTGATTTTTACTTGTCATCTTTCTATAGGCTTTTGTGGACTTCTTCTCACGTGGCCTTCAAGCAGAGTACAAGTGCAAAGGGATCATCATCCAGGTAAGAGAACCAGCATTAAAATAGAAATGATTGTGTGTGATGGGTCAGTAATGTTTTATTTTTATTATTATTATTATTTTATTTACTTTTTTTTTTTGTTGTTGCTAGGATCCATTAAATTTATCAACAGTGACAGTAAAGAAATGTATATTATTAAAATAATGTTTAATGTTCTTTTGGACTTTTTCTATTTATCAAAGAACCCTGAATAAAATGTATGACTGTTATCAGCAAAAAATATTAAGCAGCACAACTGTTTTCAACACATTAATAATAATAAAATGTTTCTTGAGCACCAAATAAGGATATTAGAAGGATTTCTGAAGGATCATGTGACAGTGACTATAACTATTTACCAAATATAAAAATTTTTACTGAATTGTTTATTAATTAAATGCAGCCTTGGTGAGTGTAAGAGACTTCTTTCAAAACCATTAAAAATAGTAACAAGAACTGTATTAATTCATTAATAAAATTTATGTTTTTTTTCTTATTGACTCTTAAGGTTTTTGTTTAGATCTATCAGATGAGAATTATAAAGATTCAGCCAGCCTAAAGTGCCTTTTTAGTGAATTACATCAAATCTTTCTGTCTCTACCAGAGTGTGCTGCCTTTCTTTGTGGCTACCAAGATGACGAAGATCAGGAAGCCCACCCTGGACAAGCCCACCCCTGAACGCTACGTAGCTGCTGAACTGACCACTGTGGGACTGCAAGACCAGACCAACGGCTATTTCCCTCACGCCGTCATGGTATGTCTCATCCAGCAGTGTTTTACACATTCATTGACCATGGTGTCACCCTAAACTTGTGTCCCACAGGGCTGGGTGACCACTGTTGTGGCCCCCATCAAGCTGGTCCTCTGCCTGGGTCTGCGCATGAACAAGGCCCAGCGCGGCGGATACCTCAGGAGGAGAAAGTTGCGATAGGTTGAAGATACTGTGTGACGGAAACCAAACTGGATGCGATATTTTACAGAACATGTGCTGAGATTTGAGATTCACTGGAGTCATTTTGAATCTCACATCTTTGAAGTGCTTCCTCTTACGTAATATTTTTTTTGTGTGTGTTAAATGTTGTGTGTGTTTGTTCTCTTTGGATAAATATCTGGACATGCTCACGTTCCACAATGACTCATTATTATTATTATTATTATTATTATTGACTGGTTGCCAGAAATGGAGACCAGTCTTCTTTGTAGGGTGAAAGAAGTGTCGGGAGGGTTTTGTGGCCACTGCTGTTGTAAGCAGAGGGTTATTTATATGGGGATGGTGTTTTATATTTATTTAATTACTAATTATGCATTTTCTTTTTATCTGGTACTATCTGTTTGCACTCTTGTTAACTGCCAATAACTAGTTTGCATTTGTGCCTTAGACCTTCTGATGAGTGATAAATGGGTGCTGGCCTTTCTTATCATTAATTTAACATTATTTACAAATCTATGGTGAATATTTTTTGAATCTTGTACTGTATCAATATAAAACCAAAGGTCTGATTTAAGTTCATTTTTGTACATTGGCCTTTCCAGGCTGTAAGTTTACGTGTCAGATTTGGTTTATTTAAAACCTGTGCCTTTTTATAGAATATAAAACTAGCTCACGTTTATTAAAAGGAGATCTAATGCACGTTTACATGATTTTCTCCACTGAAGACTTAAAGGTGTGGTGGAATGTCACCCGTTTGTCTTGAGTTTCATCCAGAGGTGGATTTGAGGAATACCTCCATAGCTTGGATCTCTGTATGATTATTTATGGACCAGTGCCAGTCAAGTTAAAACATCCAGGTGGTTAAACCGCATTAGTCGCCCCTGGTTTAAAACTTGAATGTTTTCATTCCAGACGTGTTGAAGAGTGGAACAAAATGTGCTGCTTTACAGATACGTGACAATCTGAAATCTTGTTTGTTAATAAAAAATATTTCTGTATTGATTTTTGTATTTGTCTTTTTTAATAAATTTTATGATGCTGCTTACGGTTTTGTGTCTTTTGTTTGATTTAGATTGTAAATGTTACAAAGAGATGATTAAAATGTCTGGGCTTAATTCAACACTGGTTGAGGGGTTCTGATACTTTTTGTACTCCAAGAAATGATGTGCAACAGATTTGCAGTAATCTATGATGATAATACAATTATACAATAAAGCTTCAAAGTTTAAAGCTTTGCCGAGTGTTATAAAGTCATCTTATAAAAACTTAATCTAGCTTTTTGGTCTAGAGTAGAAATGATCTGTCATTGTGTAAATCGCAAAGCTGATGTAATCATTGTAAAATTACACGCCTGAATCTAGGTGTTTATTTTGTTATGAGGTATTTATTTAAAGATATTAAAATACCTTGTCTAGTGCCTAATATACAATTTTAGATTAATAGGAAGTAGTTTAGTAGATTATAGTAGTTCTAAAGATTAAACTATTCCAGTTTCTAAATAATTTAAGTTGTAATATTGCACTCTAAAAAATGCTTGGTTGTTTCAACCCAACTTTGGGTCAAATATGGACTAACCCAACTTTTGGGTTACATTTTTACATTACATTTTTAACACAAAAGTTGGGTTAGTCCAAATTTGACCCAAAGTTGGGTTGAAACAACCAAGCATTTTTTAGAGTGTGGAAAACTACTAGAAGTATGTAGGAGCATACGTAGTACATCTTAAATATACAGCATTGTATTTGTATTATTCACATATTTTATACATATTATATATATACAGCAGTGTAAATCCAGAAGAAGGGGGAAGGAACCGTGTTGGTATCGTTCATCTCAGGGTAGGAACTAGGAAGCATTTTCACCGGTCATTGTAGGAACACGGACACGTTTTGTCGAACACCAGAACTGATTGTGTTTCTATTACACAAATGTTCAACCAATGCTCTGAAGAATGATATAAATCGCACCGAAGCTACTGTGTGTAAGTATTGTTTAAGTTGCTCATTTTTGGGACAACGCTGTCAGGTCATTAAAAATTTACTGAAAACTTAAAAACAGTGTCTCGGTCGAGGTGTGCAAATTTTAGTATACAAGATGTCATAAGTCTGTTTACATCAAACATACTTATGCATTTTATAATATAGTTCTCTGTGCTCATCATATATACTTTTGAAAAGATTGGTTTTTGAAACTGACCTATATGCACATTCCAGAATGAAAGTGCTATCCTGTAATGAGTGATTTACTGAAATTACCTGAAGATGGCAGCACATTTCTTCTGTAGTCAGTTGTAAAACTTGAAAAAATAAAAACATTTTGTCCTTCTAAGGTACTAAAGCCCACTGACATGTGTTTTGTCTTGTCAGATAAGTTTTGAGCTTTTAATGAGTGATAAAAGGCAGCGAGCGAGAGTCCAGGGCTCCTGGGCCAAACCTCTTCACAAACCACAACAGCCAACTGGTATGCCATCTTTCTCATATTATAATACCGGTACAGTAAAAGTTAAAGATGTCTTTAAAAAACATGAATTTTGTTGACATGTTTACATATTAACACGTTTAGTATTCCACAACATGGCCTGATTTAAATAACATACAGTGGATTCCAGGTTTGCAAACATCGTGAAAATTAACACAATTTTAAAAGGAACGGAGATTGAATAAATGATTTGTGTTTTTATTATTTTTACCATAAATGCTTAAATAAATTACTTTCAAGAAGCAGTAATAAAGTTGTGAAAACGTCATGGAAATTACAATTAAACCTTTTACATGGACTTCAGGGGGGAAAACAGGCAATATAGGTGTAGAACAGTGTATCAATGTTTTGCTTTCTAAATTAAGAGGATTTGCATTTATTGTTTCAGCTCAACATGTCCCTTCGGCAGCAGAATCGTGGAAATGTGGACCGCGATCATTTGAGTTCCATCAGCCAGTAGATGTAAGGGCCATTCTGTGGCTTTTATATGCTGTTTTCTTGGACAGTGGTCAAATCTGAGTGTTTCTGATTTTTCTGTATTTCTTTTTTTTTAGCCCATCAGAGAGATTCCTGTAGAGAAAGTGATCGAGTGCGTGACTCAGTCCCGGGCCCTTTTTAAGCAATAAAACCTGTTGATTGACACAGCATGTATATCAAGTGTGTCGTTTTCTTCTCTTTCTCAGAAATGCTGGTGACTATGAGATTAGTCAAGGGCCTACTGGTGTCTCCAGGTAACAATGCTCAGATTTAAAGTGGCCTAAACTAAAATAAATTACCTTCAGAAGATCCCTACCTGCATTTAAGTAATTGTGTACTACTTCTGTCCAGACTGCGACTCATACCAGGGTTTCTACAGCAGGAGGAGGCCGACTGTATGTTTAGCAAGCTACTCGCTGAACTGCCATGGTCACAAAAGACCAATTATAGGATGATGGGTGAGTTGCTTGTTGAGGTAATGTAAATTGAGGGGGGAAAAAATGTGTTTTAACCTCCTAGTTAACTGGAGATATAGGCCCAATCCCAATTCTATTTTATACCCCTTCATCTAAGATATTCCCCTAAGAAATGAGAAACCACTACTACACAGTTACACATCATCATACGTTGTCGCTAGATCCTACGTTTAAGGAGATGCGCTGATGTTTACCACAAACTTTCAAGATTCCAAAATGCTGACATGGTATGCTGTCAATTATCTGGGTAATTTTGTGATTATGACGTGCTTCATCATTTTATATATATACAGTGGATATAAAAAGTCTACACACCCCTGTTAAATTGCCAGGTTTCTGTGATGTAAAACAAAATTAAGACCAAGATAAATAATTTCAGAACTTTTTCCACCTTTAATGTAAACTATAACCTGTACAACTCAATTAAAAAACAAACTGAAATCTTTTAGGAAAGGAGTAAAAATAAAAAAACTTAAATAATGTGGTTGCATAAGTGTGCACACCCTTAAACTAATACTTTGTTGAAGCACCTTTTGATTTTATTACACCACTCAGTCATTTTGTGTATGAGTCTATCAGCATGGCACATCTTGACTTGGCAATATTTGCCCACTCTTACCTTTTAACAATGAGATCCCTCTGATGCTTTGGAAGCTCTCTGCTGACCATGGCTTTTGCTGTAAGATGCGACTAAGAAAATGTAAGGAAAAGCTTACTAGAACAGCTAAACTTTATTTGGGTTTAATCAGAGGCACTTTAAATGATGGCAGGTGTGTACTGACTCCTATTTAACATGAGTTTGAATGTGATTGCTTAATTCTGAACACAGCCACATCCTTAGTTCTAAGAGTGTGCACACTTATGCAACCACATTATTTTAGTTTTTTTATTTTTACTCCTCCTTTCCTGAAAGATTTCAGTTTGTCTTTTAATTGAGTTGTACAGGTTATAGTTTACATTAAAGGTGGAAAAAGTTCTAAAAAAATGTCATGGTGTAGTTTTATTACATCACAGAAACCTGGCAATTTAACAGGGGTGTGTAGACTTTTTATATCCACTGTATATATAAATATATATATATATACACACACACACACACACAAATTACCATATTTAAGAAAAAAATTATAATTATTGGGGGATCTTGTCTCTGTCAATGTCTATGGTGGGTACGGCCCTGATCAGACGTGAAAATATGTTGTGGGATTATCATGCAGTCAGTTAATGCTTTAAAAAAAAAATGTAACAAACAAATTGCAATTTTATTTTGTAAACGTTTCTTTGAAGAACATGACCATAATTATGAAAACAAACAATTATTTTTCATTAAAATCCTTATTAATGGCAAAAATGCTTCCATTTATGGGCAGCCATATTGCTCTGTAGCCGGCATATGCTGAAGTCATTCTCGCACCACTTCATTTGAAGTGGGTCCCGAAAAATCTTCGTTTGAAGGGCTATCTGGCCCTTCCCCTACCCCTCCAACCAAAAGAGAATCGAGACACCCCCTACCCTTTCATGGTTAACCCTGTAAAGTCTGACATAGAAAATACAAGTAATAATTATAAATTATATATATATATAGTTTGTGTGTTTTATGTTTAGTATCATTTTATATATCAGGCTTACAATATACAAGTCAGTGCAGTTGCTGATATTTATATGTCCAAAAATATTATGATATTTTGATAGCTTGCAATGTAATACTTTAAGATATCAATGAGTATAACAACATAATAGAATACTTGCATAATCTATCATATAAATATCAGTTGTCACTCTGTATCTCCCAATAATGTCTAAGTAAGATGATATTTAAATGATGATTGAGAGCTGAACAAATAAATGATTCTCAAGAGAATGATGTATCATATTTGATATTCACATTTCAACAAGAATTTTCTAAAAATGTATGGATAATCAAGTAAAAGTTGCTTCAGACTAGTAAGGGTTTGTCTTGAAATATTACTAACAATATAAAAGTTGTTCTTATGTTTACTTCATAAAGATCATTAAAGATTTCACAGCAAAATGACACATGAACTATAAACCGAAGGGGGACATTGTTACATTTATACTAAAAGGCCCTTTATTTGATAAAAAAAGTATAAAATATAAATCAGACCTAGTAGATTGTGCCCAGCAGGTTTTTCAAGTTTTAATCATGTTCCTTTATCCAGTATGATACAGTAGGCTTTATAGGGATAAAAAAGTGTCATAATAGCATCGTAACAGGGTGTAATGCACAAGTAAAATTTACTCAATTTTTCTTCTGTAGGTTTTTGCACTCATATTTTTCAAGTAACTTTCACACATAGAATTAAGTAAAATCCACCCAACTTAGTTAAGTAAAATTAAAAAAGTGAACAAGTACATCAACTGATTTTATTTAACTTTTAAGGCAAGTGTTTACACAAAATTCATTGATATTAATTTTAGACGTGCATTTTTATTTTGTCACTGCACTTCCATTAGCACAGCTATGTTCATTGAATGAAGCAATGAATACCATAGTCATCATAAAAACATTTAAAAATATAGTCATCAGCATAGTCATCATAAAAGACCCATGCAGTTTCAGTTAATGCAACTAAAATGATTCATGTACTATAGTCCCAGCACAAATTAATTAAACTTCAGATTTATGTATTTTTAGTGTACAAAAATCTATGAAATTTGTTCTTTTTATTGAAGTAAATTGAACCAGCAGCAAAAACATTATTTTCCAGTAGCATATGTTGAACCTTGGTGCTAATGTGGGGAAACAGGTTCTGACCCAAGACCAAAGCAGAAGAATCAAAATAAGCATGTTTTTGTGCACACGTTGATGATGACGTTTTGCGTCAGTCCCACTCACTTGTTCACAAAGTGCTCTTTCCACAATGACTCACATTTTCCAGTCCTTCTCCATCAGTAAATTGGCAGGAATGCCACTGCCTCCAGTTCCCTCATCTGTTTACCTTCTCCAAGACCGACATCATTTGAAAAAGTCCCAAATATACCAAATGTTTAAACATTTGCTTTGGACCAAGAGCAGTTCACATTTGACTGTGACTAATCAAGATCGTTTTGACAAATATTCTGGTTCCACGAGCTTTCAGGCGGTTTGTTGTGGAGAGATGTGCTATTAGTTTTTAAGCATTTTGAAATATGATTTTATGCCTTCCAGATTATAAAACAGGTGAAAAAAATCTGATTGTGGTAAATAACCACCCAGAACACCCTAGAAACCACATAGCAACATGCGAAATCCATTTAGAACTCAATTTAGTTTTGCTCTTGGCATTTAGGTACATTTAGGTACAAACATTTGTTTGTACTTCAGAAAAGCTAAAAATCTAGTTTTATTTTAAAATTATTAAGTCAAGTCTCATTTATTTATATAGCGCTTTATACAATACAGATTGTTTTAAAGCAGCGTCACAGAAATAGCAATATGTTGCAAAATTCATCAATTGTGGAATTAATTCAGTTTCAGCTGTAAAGCTGCTCTACAGAAGACAATAGTTTCATTATCCAGCATAATTCAGTTCAAGTTTTGTTCTCATCTGATAGTATTAGTGTAGTAATTATCAGTAATATTAACTGAATATTACTTAATAGGGATGGTTTACCCAAAAATGAAACCAAGCCGTTTCTGGTCCCCATTGACTTCCCTAGTATTCTTTTTTTTCCATACTATGGAAGACAATGGCTACCGTCAACTGTTTGGTTACAAACATTCTTCAAAATATCTTCTTTTGTGCTCAACAGAAGAAAGGAACTCCTACAAGTTTGGAACAACTTGAGGGTGAGAAAATGATGACAGAATTTTCATTTTTGGGTGAACTATCCCTTTAATTTCCCTTTAAATAGATGTTAGGCAGTATTGAAAGTAGAAATAGCTGAACATGCTTCATATTCAGTATGTTTTGCACTTCAGGTGATGCATATGAGGAACCCAGGCTCACTTGTTGGTATGGAGAGTTGCCGTATACATATTCACGCTCCGCTATGCAGGCCAATACTCAGGTATATGACTATTGCATACTGCAAGTGAGCAAACAAAAATGACATCTATCAATATGTAAAGTAAAGCATCTATTTCTGTATTTTCCTCCTATTACAGTGGCATCCAGTTCTCACCACTTTATGTCTGGGCGTTGAGCAGAAGAGTGGTCACAAGTTTAACTCATTGCTGTGTAACCTGTACCGGGATGGTAAAGACAGCATTGGCTGGCACAGTGACAACGAGCCATCATTAGGACCCCAGCCCATCATCGCCTCTCTGAGTCTGGGCGACACTAGAGTGTTCAGTCTCCGAAAGCAGCCACTTCCTGTGAGTCTGCGAATGTATCATTTCCTGTCACAGTCATGCTAGGGTTTAAATGATGGGAATAACAGTGTTTGCCCTAAGGATGCACGATATACTAGCGCTGCAATTAATCATAATAAAACCAAACTGCAGATTATGGTTGGCAGCTTTCGTCAACAGAAGAGAAGCTTTAAGGGATCCCTGTGGTTTTACGCTACAAACTCAATGGTTTAACATTTGAAAATTCTTAGTAATTGTAATTTCACAGTGCTGTTAAATGAAAACGTTATAATTGTTATTATATTTTTGTATTTTACAATGAAATATTACAGTAGTAATATTTCTTATTTTGTTCATTTTTCATTTCTAATACTAATAATCATATTAAAAATAATAAGTATTAGAGTAATTTATATGTAATCACAACTTTTTTAGCCAGATTGTGCAGCCCTACAGACAAGCACAGTAATTCTGGAGCTTTAAAAGAGCTTCACGTTTTAAATGGCAGTTGCCGTTTTTATCAGAAAAATCACAATACGATTTTTCCCCCTCAAATCGTGAAGCCCAACAATATATTGGTATATCGACTGATATTAGAGATTTTATTTTTCATTTATCGATATGTCAATATTGGATATTTAATTTAATATATTTCTAGTCAAATTAATCTTAATAACTTTTAAATCTAATGTTTGGATATTTAATTTAATATATATTGGTTTCAAATTTAATTTTATTGCAGCATTCAATTTTAATTTTAATTCTCGTTCATTAAAAATGTTAATGTCTGCCATTTATCCAGTTTTTGGCCATAACATGAAAATAATTATTGACTTATCTATCAATACCGTTCAGAATTTTAAAGGGGTCATATGATGCAATTTCAAATTTTCCTTACTCTTTGGAATGTTACAAGCTGTTCGTGAATAGATAAGATCCCTAAAGTTGCAAAGTCTAAAGTCTCAAATCCAAACAGATACATTCTTTATAAAAATTAAGACTTGTCCACGCCTACCTAAAACGCCTCGTTTAAACACGCCCCCACATGTCTATGTCACTGTGTGGGAAGATTTGCATAACACCGCCCAAATGTTCACACACAGAAAGAAGGCATAACTTTTATTCTCGCTGTAGTATTGTTGCTGTCGCCGCCGCCATGTCGTGAAGGCACTGTGTGTTTCGTTGAAGAAACTACTTTGTTTGGCCTTCCAAAAGAGGACGATATCCGCTTCATCATGCCTAGAGCTGATCCGTGCTGGTTGCAAAGGAAATACATCAACTTCGCGCTGTGGATCACCGGATCGGCTTCCACCGTGGATGAAGCGGAGTCCAGCCCGGGGTCGTCACATGTGGTTGCCGCAAACCCGCCGGACGCCGCTCACTCAGCAGGAGCTCTTGTTTAGTCTAATGTGAGCGGTTAAGCTGCCAGTTAATAACAGTCTTCTGAACGCTGATGTTAAGCCAGAATGTGGAGAAAGGCTGAAAATGGCTAAATCGAAGTGGAAGGGTGGAGATGGTGTTTATTTGTTTTGGCTCGAGTATGTTCTGGAAAACCAATCACACATGGTAGAGATGATCTGGAACAGTCACACTGTCCTCCATCCAGAGAGCGTTAAGTGCAGACACTGTTTTCTGCTGATGTGTAACAGTGTGAAGGGGCATAGGCGGAGGGTGAACCAACTCCAGGGTAAGGCTAAAAGCAGCCAAATCTATTAAATACAAACATCATGTCTTTTCAGGCAAGAACCAGACATGGGTGTCATGTAGACTAATAAAATGTTTAATGGGACTGAATTTGTATTTAACGTCATTACAATTTATTTAAAACATTAGAAATTGATAATTATATAACGTTTCCTTTCCACGGTTATTCAAACGGTGAATAAATTACATAGCCTACAGGAAGTGACATCATCACTAACTTAAGAACTCTCAAAAAAACTAAATCACTGAAACTGTGTACACTACGAAAGGAATCTCTTACTTACATTGTACGTACATCTGCGTTTTGCTGTTCATGATGAGAGAATTCGCAAGAGTCCGGATTTCAGTCAGCGAACACGCGTGCGCACTCAACAAAGCTGATGAGTTTCAGCGATGACTCAACTGAACGCCTCTGATTGGCCATTGCATTCCTAAGCTCAACAGTACCGAGTGGGATTGGTTATAATGTGCAAAACTGTAAAGCCGCAATCGACACTTTCTATTCATTTTCACTTTGTTAGCAATAGACACAATAGATTTAATTTGTTTGTGCTGGAGCATTTTTGTCCAATTTAGTGGCATTTTTGCCATAAAACCTGTGGCCAAGCCTTACACACGCTCCGCCTATGTGAAGGGGGAAAGTGAACGTGTTTCTTCACAGCAAACTGAAGGAGACAGTGTTTCCAAGGAAGACTTTGCAAAACATTGCACAAAAAATACTACAGACAATTGGGAGAATTCACAAAACATATGATATCAGAGCAAAAACCTGTGCCTTATTCACTACGTACTTGTTTGACTGGTGGCTAAATGCTTTAAAATAGCAATGCTTTTCATTTAAATTAAGTCATTATAGTCACTCTTTTCATGCAAACACACCTCTATTAAATATGATAATAGTATTGACTTATAGTAGTAATGATAGAATAATAATTTGGTAATGTTATGATGACTTATGAACTTTATTCACAAAACTAAGAAACTGCTAAATGTAATTAAATAAGTGTAATTATAATTATTTTTATTTAATTTCTTTTTTCCCCCTTTTTTTCCTTTTAGGTTTTTTTTCTATTTTAGTACAATTTTATAATTTTGCTTAACAGATTTTAAATTTTTGTATTTAAATTTTTTTATTTCATTTAACAGGTTATTTTACACTTTATAATTTAATTTAAACGTTTTTTTTTTTTTTTTACATTTTTGTACATTTTCTAATTTCATTTAACAGGGTTATTTTACATTTTTGTAAATTAATTTGTAATTTAAAATTTTTGTACATTTTGTAGTTTCATTTAATAGTCTTTTTTACAGCTTATTTTTCATTTAACTTTTTTTCATTTGTTTGCATGTTTGTAATTTCATTTAACTGGGTTTGTTTACCTTTTGTCCATTTTTGTAATCTGATTTAGCAAGGTTATTTAGCACTTTTTGCTCAATTTTTTTGCACTTTTGTAATTTCATTTCAAAAACCTGCTAGAAGTTGTTTTTGGATTCCGACTCCAAGACAAACCACAGGCCTTTGGTGAGGCACAAAGAACAGAGAAAGGTCAAGAACATTTTATGGCGACATCTGAAAACTGTTCAAGAAAGGTCACTCGCGGATTGTGCCAAAAAGCTTTCAGGCGATCTTATTAGGTTGACATAACTCACATTGACCTGTCAAAATAAAGCTAACTTAACCCATATGTATGGCTGTTCACAGTTGCCTTTAAAATGTGTTCGAAATTTAGAGGCTTTGAAAGCTGTTAAATAACTGTCAAAGGGATGTTCTGGATCAAAAACATAACAGGGGACACCAGTTCAACAATGTAATTGTGTATGTAAACATACTGCTTTTGCTTAGTCAAGCTACATTCTTTATCATCTGTCTGTCTAAATATACATGACACAATGCATAATCATATTTGAATTATGTAATACACATCATGCATCACCGCTGTCTTTTGAGGCGAATGCCAAGGCCACTTGGAGTTCGATTAACCTCCTTTAACTTTGCCCAATGGCTACATTGCCTTGTTGTGAGTGTAGTTTTAACATTATTAATGTTTTTTAAATAGCACCAGGTGGCAAAGGAGTACCATGACCGTGGGCCTCGAATAAACCTCACGTTCCGCACCATATACCCAGAGCCAGAGCGTCCCAGCGGGAGATTTGTGAGATGATCACTAGGAGAAGAGAAGAAGAGACTGCGGGTTTGAAGAGATCTGAAGAGGTCTGTCTCATTCACAGAGCACCAGTGATGACTTATATACACAACAGACTACACATAATTTCTGTTCAGTTTAATTATTTATTTACGTGTGGAAGTTCACTTTTGATCAAAGACCCTGAACAATCAAAAAAGCAGTGCCAAGTGGCCCATATTTCAGTTATGGCCCCCCAAAGGCTCTTTTTCAAGGTAAATTGCTGTTTAAATATTACATGTTGTGCAATTTTTCGTTTATAGCTTGTGGTGAATAAACCCTAATTACATACATTTGTTCAGTGTCATTATAGGGTTGGTTACGCTACTGTTCAAAAGTTTAGAGTCTGTAAGATTTTTTTTAATGCTTTTGAAGTCTCTTATGCTCTCCAAGGCTTTTATTTAATCAAAAATACTCTAGAAACAGTTATACTGTGAGCTATTATTAGTTTAAAATAACTGTCTTCTGTTTCAATAACTTTTAAAATGTCATTCTAATATGCTGATTTGCTGCTTGAGAAACATTTTTTTTTTTAATTATCAGTTTTGAAAAAAGTTTTTGCTGCTTAATATTTTAGTGGAAGTCGTGATAGATTTTTTTTGGATTCTAAATTTCATTTTAAATGTCTTTACTGTCACTTATTTAATTAATATAATGCGTCCTTGCGGAATAAAAATCTTATTGATCCTAATTTTTTGAACCACGGTGTATGTCTTTGTGTTTAACAACAATTTTATTATCAAAATTACATATGCGATCTAAAACATTTTATTACTAAGGTAACAAACTCACAGTAAGCCTTTTGTCCTTTTTTTATGATTATGAGGTTATAAGGTTTATTATATTTTGAAGGGCTGCCAGACTTTCCAAGACATCTGTTTTTTTACAACTTCAGCCCTCAGACTCTTTTCTCTGTGCAGATGGTTGGTAAGCTATACACTTGACTGCTAGCCTCCTCTCATTATTGATGAGTCACGGTTGGTTAAGAGCTGAATGGCTGTCTTTGTGGCCACATGTGTCACCGTCAACCTCGAGAGACAAGGACCACGTTAACTTGGTGGCAGTTGAGCCAGCAATGCTATCAAAGAAAATGCTCTTAGTTCAAATGCATAATACACAGTTTAAAATGTTCTTATATGTGTAGTTTTAAATTGTTGCATGCTCATTCTCTGGACTTCAAGGCACCAAGGGTCAGATATGGGGCTGTTGCGTTACTCTTTTAAAGACAGTATCCCTAAATATGGGAACGCCATCGAACATAGCAGTGGTTTTGGCAGCACATCTCAATAGTAGAGATTGTCCAGAATGTTTAGAAACTGCAAACCGTAAATCTTTTACTCTTGCTTGTGGCTTCCAGTGATTTGTCGGAGCTCTTTAATTTGAGTTTCTTAGTGTTCCTTTCTGCTCGCCTGGCAATGCAACACCTGTCAGAGCTTCCCCACAAAGCCCGACCTGCACATGGAAATGGTGCTTCTGTTCTGGAATGCAGGGACCCTCGCTGTGTAATGGGATCATTGGCCATTATTTTTCTACTCCAGTTAAATTGTGATAAGTTTCATTCCCAGAGTGTGCAGGGAGATCTGTTTGGTTAGGGTAAGGAGTGTACGCAACAACTGTCATGATTGAGCTCTTAGTGAGAAAAATATATAACTTTCGTTCATCTTTGAAACACAAATGAGAATATTTTTAATGAAACTTGACCGATTTGTGTTTGTTGTTTAAAAGTCCACCAAAGCTTTGATGCTTCAAAAAGTTCATAAAGAGATTGTAAAATAAGTCCATATTAATGGAACAGTTGAAAATGAATTGAACTCTTCTGAAAAGACAGAGGGCTTTATATGATGAACAGATGTAATTTAGTTTTTGTTTACATATAAGCATTGATCAACACAAACATAGAGCTCATCAAATGTGGTAAACAGAAGTTTTAATGCTCTTGCACTCTCAAAAATAATGGTGTTTCACGATGCCATAGAAGAACCTTTTTGTCTAAATGGTTCCATAAAGAACCTTTAACATCTGAAGAACCTTTCTGTTTCACAAAAGGTTCTTTGTGGTGAAAGAAGGTTCTTCAAATTATAAAAAGGTAAGAAGAGATGGTTCTTTAAATAACCTTTGACTGAATGGTTCTTTGTGGAAACAAAATTGGTTCTTCTATGGCATCGCTGTGAAGAACCTTTAAAGCACCTTTATTTTTAAGAGTGTGGTTGTCACGCAAGAACCAATGCGGTTTGTTCTCACATGTCATGCAAACATGTTAAAGTTTCCACAACAACCAATGGGGTTTGTTTTTCACGTGTTTTATGCGAGAACATTCAAGTTTCCGCAAGAACCAATAAGGTTTGTTCTCACATGTCACTCAAATATGTTCACTTTCCCTCAAGAACCACCAGGTTTGTTTTCACATGTCACACAAACACGTTTGAGCTTCTGTTTACCATATTTGATGTTTTTATGTTGATCAATGTTTATATGCGAACAAAAGCCTAAATTAAATCTGTTCTCCATATAAAGCAATTGCATCTCTTCAGACGACTAAGCTGCTTCATTCATTTACTTTTACAATCTTTTTACAAACTTTTTCAATCTCTTTATGAATTTTTTTTGAAGTTTTGATGACATGGCCTTTCAATGGAGGGACAGAAATCTCTCAGATTGCATTAAACATATCTTCATTTGTGTTTTGAAGATGAACGTAAGTCTTACAGCTTTGGAACAACATGTGGATGAGTAACTGATGACAGAATTTTCAATTTTAGGTGAACTATCACTTTAACATAGATTGATTTTCAAGATGACACTGAAAGATTCACAGTATTGCTGGCCAAAGCACCTTTAACTAACCTTCTGGCATGGTGTCCAGAATGCTTTTAGCATTTCTCAGTTGCACTAGGATCATAACCGAAAGACCAGTGGGCAAAACAAAATAAAAATAACAGCCAAGTCCAGTGACCCATGTCCTGCCAGGATCCTCACTCCCAGTAGCCTTTCAGTGGCTTTTTATTAACAAGACCACATGGATTTATTATTAGCACCTGTCTGAGATTTGGAACTGGTCCCTTGTGTCCAACGCAAGGTTCATGTTACATCAGAGTCATGCAAACCATGCCTCTCGACCCCTTTTTGTCATATGAGTTGGACTTAGAGCCAAAAGGATTGTTCGTAATGACAGCAATTTTCAGCAGAAATGTCTGGAAATCTTTCCTTTTCTGTGAAAGATTTGAGGTGACATGAGCAACATGGACTGTGTTCTTGGATGCAAAGTCCACAACTTTTTGTCTCCCTTGGCCGACTTGTGCTTGAACTTCATGACGACACGTTTCCTCTTCTCTTAATTCCCAGATTAGAGAGCTGCATCGCAAGTCTAGACACATAAGGCTAACAGCAACATTCAAGGCATGGGCACAAATCCATTAGACATTGGTAGTGGTTTGTCTGTTGAAGTCGAGGCCTGTGCTCCATCCCTGGTTTTCTCATTCCTACCAATACTATTAAAACATTTTAATTTATACTTTTAACATTTTTTTTTTTTTTTTTTTTACATAAACCAGTGTTTTTTCTTTTCCCTTCTTATATGCCCCCTCGGCCCCATCGGTAAGGCCAGTGGTTCTCGACATTTTACACTCCAAGGCTCCCACTGTCAAAGTCGATGAAAAAAAAAATCACATTAAAAATAAAACAATTATAAATAAATAAATGTTCCATAATTGTTTTGAATGGATTTCCTTGACTTTTTCAGTCGTTGTGATTTAAAGGTTATATAAAGGTTTGAAGGTTTTTTTTATTATTATTTTGTAAATTTCCATGACTTTTCCAGGTCTAGGTCATGAATCCAGGTTTTTGAAGACTGTGAGAATAATGCTGGACACCAAACCAGTAATGTATAATATATATATACGTGTGTGTGCGTTTGTGCATTACCATATATATATATTTGTGCATTACAATTAATATTATGTTAATACTGTGGGTGAACTCATCAAGTAGGTTTGTTTTGTTTTAGGTTTGTCTACCACACGTTTTCAAAAATTCTCCAAGGCTTTCTTAACCTGTTAATGGATGAAAACCAGATGGGACATTTAACAAAAGTCATTTGCAGTTTTTGTATGGTAGAAAATAATTATAATCAAAGCCATTTATCATCCACTGTTTGAGTGAACCAAACCTCCTTATAAAAAGAAGTACATGTGTACAAGGCATTAACTACAAAACAGATTTGAGTATATCATTGAAATGAAAATAAATGTATTTTTACATATTAATAAAAAATAAAAACGTAATAAAAAAAAACATTTAAAACAAACTGATCTTTTTTTTTTTTTTTTATTTATTCATGCAATGTGATTTGCAAGAAAACATTCAATTTGTAATAAACAAGATAAGTGTGAGCAAGTTGTACAAAAACGTACAAATGAGATAAAAAAAAAAGTTGCCACCAGTTTAGCAAAACAAAATAGTTGTGAGTTGTAATGAGACTATATTGATTTGTAAACCTTTTTTTTGCTTCTGTGACATTGGCAAGAGGTCTGAGCTTGAGGATGAAGAGGGGCTCTTGTTCCGTTTGTTCAGGATTACCCAGCTGTCCCTTGCTCTATTTATTTAAAGTATTCAAAATACCAGCAGCTGTTGCTGATCATGCAGGTATAGAGATGGTTATGGCTATCTTTCATCTCTTTGGCTGGTATATCACTGTTTTTTCATGGATTGAGACCAATCTGTAAAAATGTGTATACATGCAGAGAATGCCTTTTTATTTTATTTATTTTTTTGGTGTTGTTTAGTTACAAAAACAGTTTATAAAGAGGGTGGTTTATTGTTTCAAAGGCATCATGTGACACCGGCGTACGTGCAATTTGCTTTGCAAAGACATACGTCTTTGCTGTCTTGTACATCCCTTCTGCTTTAGTCTAGAGACAAGCTATTAATCAACTTGACGTGTTCCTGCAAAACGTGGTGTGTGTAGTAGTCCTTGACATCATCACATGATGTCACGTGACTGATAATACCTTAGCGGGTGGATAAACATGCATGTCTCCAAGTGTCTGAGAGCTGGCCTCTCCGTCCCAAAATAGATGTTACATAGAGCGGACTTTATGGTAACCCCTTGACGTCTGATATACGGGACGAGAATGAGTGTGTTGAGAGTAAGTGAGGTGGCACCGTTATGGTTTCCTGTTTTGCTTCTTAAGGGTCATCCTCAGGGTCCATGACAAAACGGGAGATGCCATGGTGTGTTGTCACAATGTCCAGGCCCCAGTTTCACACTGCTCCCAAAATGTCTCTGGGCTCATCAGACATGTCTGGCATGAACCGTTCGAGGGTTAATGACAAATCTAAATAGCACAGGAAGAGAGTGAGGAAGAGTGAGAGACTGATGAAAGCTAAACTCATTACGGTGATGAGATCATGGTTGTGGCACTACAGAGAGATTCTTGTTGCTGAGCTTACAACACCTCTAGTAAAAGAAATATATAGTTCATAGATCATCAACCTCCATGTCCTTATATGGCCAACTTGAAAAGGTGGCATCATCATTCACTTTGCTTTAAACATATATTCTATATGTGAAAGAAGTCTTTAAAAACATATATGTAAATACTTTAAATTATATTTTTTAATTATTCCATGATTTACTCACCCTCAAGGCATCCTAGGTGTATATGACTTTTTCTTTCAGACAAATACAATCGGAGTTATATTAAAAATGTCCTGACTCTTCCAAGTTTATAATGGCAGTGAACGGGTGTAATTTTTCAATAGTCCAAAAGAAGTCCAATAAAGTGCATCCATCCATCATAAAAATGTAAAACTTAATAAACAGTAATCTCTAGTTTCCGCTAACTGTCATACACATGTTCATGAGAGAGTGGCGTTCCAGCGGATTATGTAGGATATAGGTGAAGCGTAAGGTTCGGCAGGGGCGGGGCTACATGGGGTTCAGGGGGGGCACCAGCCCCCCCCGAAATCTGGTTGCCCCCCCCCC